CTCTGCTTCCACCATCTTGCAGTATGAGACTCCTGGGTCACTGTCTCCACCACCAGATGGACTTTGGACTTCCCGGCCTCAGAAACTGTAAGCAATAAATTTTGTTTTTCTTTTTAAACACCCAGTTGCAGGTATTTTGTTATAAGCAACAAAAACAGACTAATACACGGTTCGTTTGATGTTTGTTACCAATTGGTAACAGGTAATATTTACTCAGGATTCTGCACCTTGTGTTTTATTTATTTTTATTTTTTGCATTTCACAATATATCTTAGAGAATCCGTATCAGTACATAGAGGGCTTCTTTCTTCCGTTGTAGGGGTGTACCATAGTTTATTTAACCAGTCCCTATTAATGGATGTTAGCCTAGACTCTTCATATCAGCTGGTTTTAGATGTTTCTTCACTTTTGCTGCTGCTTCTCAGAATTACTGATCACTTGGAGCTGAACAGCAGATAATTGGAAATGAGTAACTAAAATGTCAAGAAATAAAACATAATTGTCAACTAGTGATTATTAACTATAAATGGAATGAAATTATGAAGTATAGTAATGGATTTGGGACATATCCATGCAACGTTAGAGTTGTTTTTCTTTTTGCATCTTTCTTCCTAATTTCATCTTTCCTACATTGGCCAGTGATGTGACTGTGAATTGCCCGAGTATGACTTTTGTTTGCCCTTAAGTTTTGTCACTTTTTCTGAGTATAAGTATTAGGCATATAGCCTAATTACATCTTATAGCCTTTTTAAAAAATGCTAAGACTATAAGATGCAATTTCAGTTTCCAATTCTGAGAAACAACTATGATGTGCATTCTTCTAGCCTTTTAAAATACCTATCTATATCTTTTGCCCATTTTTATACTGTGTGGTTTAAATATAAAAGAGGCCTTATATATGAATAGTAATTCTTTGCCATAAGTTGCCAATATTGTTCTCTGCCATTTTTTAAAAAATTGTTTATAATATATTCTGCTGCAAATAAATACTGAAGTCTTATGCAGCTAAATTTCCTTTTCCTTTGTTTGGCTTTGGAGTCATGCTATGAAAGGCTTTCTGTACCCCAAGATTATATAGATGTTTTTCTGTGTTTTCTATTTTATAATTTTAAATTTACATCCTTGAGTTGTCTGGAATTTATTGTAAATGATGTGAGGTAGGAGTCTAACTTCACTTAACATGATGGGATGAGGCATTTTATCCATTCATCTGTCCATTAAACAAATATTTAGATCTTCTTGCCTTGTGCTAAGCAGTGTTCTGGACACTGAGAATGTAGCAGCAAATAAGACAGGCAAGGGCCTTTTCTCTTAGATCTTATGTTTTAGAAAGGGAAGGCAGGCAATAAAGAGGAAATATTGTTGAGTGTAGCATTAAGTGCTGTGATGACCAGGCAGGGCTATGTGGTAGAGTGTGCTCAGGGGGTCTATTTTACCTTGAGGATTGGCACCTCCGAGGAGATTGCATCCCAGCTGATGTCATCTACTGAATAATCTGCTTATTTTACATATATTTGAAATGTGACCTTGAAAATATACCAAACATAGCACACACACACACGAGACAGAAACACAGAAAGAGAGAGAGTGCGCGCGCACGTGCAAGCGATATGAGAGTATGAGAGTTTATGAGTTTATTTTTCTGGATTCTATTCTATTTCTGTTGTAGCACCACACTATTTTATTTGTTCTTTTAGGATTTATTTTGTTATTTCATAAGGCAAATCCCCCCTCATTTTTCTTTTCATAAGTTTGGTTACTTACTATTCTTATACGTTTATTCTTCTAGTTGAATTTTATTATCGTTATTAAGTTCCAACAGTAACAGTAAAAAAGTAAAAATATTAAGTTCTGACTTGAATTTTATTAAATCTATATCGCAATTTGAGGAATACTACCATCTTTACAATGTTTCTTCTTCCTATTAAGTAAAAAAATTATCCTTCACTTTTCAGATATTTCATTATGGCCTTGGTTAACTTTTTACAGTCTGTCACGAGTATCTTGCATATTTCTATTAATCGTATTCTTAGGTGTTTCTGGGATTTCACTATGATTGTGATTTTGTAAAGAAAAAACATTTGGATTGCTAAGTATTATATCTGAAGGCATTTTGCTGCTGTGATGCCTAGAACTTCACCACTGTCATATTTTCTTTATAAATTATACTTTCATCACTTAAAATATCCCTATTTATTCCATTTGATATAAACTTTTCAAAGAATAACAATATCAAAAAGCTTGTGCTCTAAGGTTTAGGAAAACTTCTGCCTAGCGAGATAAACTCATGAGGCTGCTTATTTCAAACACCATGAGTTACCCTATGCTTACATAGTGCTGGAGGAAAGAAGACCCATACTAAGTGGTAGGGAGGAAGGGAAAAAACAATTAAAGGGAGTAACAACAAATACATTTTATGAATGATATTAAGTTTCACTGTAGCCTTTTAAAATACCTTTCTGTGGTTTACCTTCATCAGTGCTTGGTAAGCCTGCTACTGATCCACAGCCCATTTCACAACAGACGAGCTCTGTGGCATACTTGGTCTTAACTTAAGGTCAACTGTGGGAAGTGAGGAAGACCAGCACACAGCCATCTGAATTTGGACTTTTAATTTTGCCTAATATATTCAGCTAACAAAGCAATTTATTGAAAAAAGTAGATTATCTTTAGAAAGGGAATCTCATATTTCTGATTTGATATCTTCTTTCACCAAAAGGGGGCTTATGTTTTGTTTCCACATACGTTCTGACATATCTGATATTTATATGTTATCCTCCCTGCTTTCTTTTTATTTGCATTTGCCTGTCATATCTTGTCTCTATCCCCCTATTTTCTTTTAACTTTTTGGTTTGTGTTTTAGTTATATCTTTTGTAGGTACCATATAGCTGGATTTAAAACCAATTTTAGAGTTTTTTTCTTTTAATAGAGAAAGGCAACCCATTTACGTTTGTTTTTATACACGTATTAGGTCTTTTTCTGGTTACTTAAAGATTTTTGATAATTATGCTTTTTGTTTCCTTTCTTTACATTTGTTGAACTGATGACTTTTCTTGGTTCCTTTTTTTTCTTTCATAAAATGGAAATTTTGCCATGTATTTTATATCCTGCCTGTGACTACCTTTATTTTTCCTGACAATATTCGTCCATGATTTGTAACCTTTTTTTTGTCACTTCGATATATTGATAAAATTAATATTAGGGGAAAATAATAGGTAGAAAGAAAGATAATGAACTCAGTGCCTGAGTGTTGACACTGTTTCTGGAGTTCATAGTCGTGGATGTGAAATAACACAGATTTCTTGGAAATTGGTTTCACTTTGTCTTTCGTCTCTTCAGTCATTCTCTCTCCACTACTTTTCTCTCCTTTGCCTCTACATACTAAAATGCTCTCTGTCCTTAAATGATGGAAGCGTTTTCTGCAGCTTTATTTCTATTACCTATTCCTTCCTTATTTCCATAAAGCTTATCTCTCATCTTTTTCACAAAATATTTTCTGATTCTTTCCATGCGTTTATTCTTCCATCCACCATAAGCTCATGTCTGCCTGCACTGCGGAGCTGAAATTAGCAAATTTTCAAATCAGCAGCTGTCTTTTCAATCTTTGCTCTGTTTGACACACTCTGGCTTCTGATTCTGTTGACCATGACCTTTTTCTTGGAACTCCCTTTGCCCTGGCCTTCAATCCTGAATCTCTTCTGTCTCTCTGTCTTTGTTTGACTCTCATGCTTCCTGGAGGTCGTTAGGGTTCTTTTCTTGGCTTTCTTCTTGTCTCACAACATGGGGAGTTGGATGACCATGGGTTCAAATCCCAGCTGTGTGATCTCAGATAACTATTTGAGCCTCTTTGATCCTCAGATTCCTCATGTATAAAATGATGATTTAAGTGCTAGCCATCTAGCAAATTGTTGTATGATAAATGAAGTGAGGCATGTGAGTCTCCTATTAGAGTAAAACTCAGTAAAAATGTGAGTTGTCATCTGGGGTAACCACCACTCAGTTATGTGTTCCTTCATTAAACAGGTGTTAAATACTTACAGTGTTTTAGTTCTTATGCTAAGGGCTAGAAAACATGGCCTCAGTGGATTTAGAAATTTAAAATGCCATTTTCACATCAACCTGGATTTTTTATTGATTCTCTTGTAGACCAACCACATGCTGTATTTATCCTGTTTAGACATGCTTTTCTTTTACTGGGATTCTCACTTGTGTTGTAAGGCCTTGTGCTTTTCTGACAACTTTGAGCATCACAAGGAGGTGCGTTGGGCATGAGACGTGGCCATGAGTCTTGCCAGATTTGGCCCCACCCAGCAGTAAAGTCTCTTTGCCCGAGTAGCTCCCAGTGGACCAGATACACTCTGCCCAGTCCTTGAACTACTTACTAGTTTCACCTCCCTACTAGCTTACAGAATTATTCAAGCCAGTCACATCTTTCCATAGTAACCAAGGGTCACCTCACCCTTTTGTCACTATATAGCCTGCTGGTTCACCCTGTTCCTGGGTGCAACCCCCATGTGACCCTGCCTGGTAGGCAGTGTCCTCTTCCCCTGGGCCGTGAGTATATGTGACTAATAATTGCTGTTGATCTCATCTGTCCAGTGTCAGGTGTTGTGTATTTGGTCACCTTGTACTATTTAGGGCAGGGAATCCCTCCTTCATCAATGGGGTGAATAGAATGTGATCAGAACACCACCTCCTCCTCCAGTGGGAATCTATAGCAGCCTTTAGTACCTTTTTCTATTACTTTCTTACAACTGCTCTTTCTGTCCTTGACTCCCAAAGCACTTTTTATAGTATATTTATCTCTGATTATTTCATGATAATGTTTATTTTTGTAGCAGATGTTTTGTTTCTTTTGTAGGGTAACAAAAGAAACAAAGATGTTTTTCTCACACAGATATCTGTATCCTGTGTTTTCTCCCCCCAGTGCTGCTTGATTTTTTTTACTTCCTTCAGAGGGTTTTGTTAGCATAATCCCTTGGTGAGGAAGATTTTGTAGTTTCAGGAGTCAGTGACATTCAAGGATGTGTCTATGGATTTCACCTGGGAGGAGTGGATTCAACTAGATTCTGCTCAGAGGAACTTGTATGAGAAAGTGATGCTGGAGAACTACAGGAACCTGGTCTCACTAGGTAAGGACTTCTTGTAACTCAAAACCTGCCTCTTGACACCTTTTCCCCCTTGATCCTGTATAACCTCTGAAAATTATGGATTTGGACTTGAAATCCTGGATCTTATAGGTCATGGTTTTAGTTTGCTTAGTGTCCTCTCTTTGAAGATGAAAGGTCTTTTCTGTAGAGAATGGAAAATGGGAAACTTCATCAGCCAAACCTACCTTTGTTTCAGAAGCCATGAAGGGAATCAGAACTCTGCTGGGGTTGGTTTTTGGACTCAGAACCCAAATTTAGTTTCTTTTCTCCCAAGCAGGGCGTCAGCTTTCCAAACCAAATGTGATTTCTCAGCTGGAACAAGAAGAGCTGAGCCTGAGGGAAAAAGAACTCCCTGGGTGTATCTCTCCAGGTGAGTGTCAGGCTGCAAGGACTTGCTACATGTGTGTGTCTCCTTGGGGAGAAATCACTTCAGAGATCCCTGGGTCTCTGGAGAGACTAGCACCATTTGATGTGTATTCTCTCAGATACCTCCATATCTCTGATGGGACTTAGGCTCCACAAGTGGCACATATGTCCTTATGTGGGGGGGAAGTAATACATCATAAGGATTAAGTGAGTTACTGCATTTGTAGCACTTGTACATTACCTGGAACATACTGAGCATTCAGTAAATGTTAGCAGTTACTATGTCCTCTTCTGCCTTCATCTGTATTTTGAATTGAATCACCGTCTTTCTGTCTCCTCTGGGCCTTTACTCACTTTCTTGAATATTTCTTCAGAGCCATAACCTATGTAAATAGCTTCCTTTCCCCTATTCATTTAAACATTTGCAAGCTTTTTTCTCATTTAAAGGAAACTAGCGTTCCTCTTCCTCTGCATTGTTTGGGTGTTTTATGTAGTTTTCATTTAAAAACAAGTGAAAAATGACTTTAGCCTTGTTTTCATTTCAAGCAGCCTTGCATTTTATATATTTCCTTTCCCATTCCCAAATTTTAATCTGCATCTATTACCCATTCAGTCCCATTTTCCTCTAAAGTGTTAATACTTCTTAATCTCTGTTACCTGGTTTTTAATCCCCTTACAGCTGAAATTTCTCTTTTAGATGTTGTCACTGATTTTTCTCTGCACGAAATGCATTTTACACCTTTATCTGTCTTCTGTGTGTGAAAGTGTTGACCATCACTTCTTTCTGTACATTTTTTTAAAATTAAAGAGCTAGGTAAATATTTATGTGATCTCTGGAAGGTATAGGACTATCAAAGTATAAAGCAATAAAAGAAATCATTAACTGAACATATTGATAGGAAAGAAATAACCTTATGACCATTACTGCTGCTTTCCAGTAAGCTTTCTAAAGAACAAGATTCTAGGAGACCAGAATCTTGGGTCAAAAGAAAGAGAGAGAGAGAGATTTTTTTTATGGCTCTTGCTACATATTGTACAATTTTGTATACTATTTTATGTTTTCTAATGCTAATTTATTTGATGTAAAATGATCCCTTAAGAGAAAAGCTTTAATTGCTTTTAGCATAGATGTCTGTGGATTTTATTACTATTGTTATTGGTATTTATTCTTATGTAAATAATCTATTTATTCAACAAATATTTATTGAGTCCTAGCCCTGTTTCTAGCACCAAGAATATAGTAATAAGCCAAAGTTTCCTTGAGGAGCTTATATTTTAGTGGAGAAGACAATAAATTAATTAAGAAAGGAAGGGAGGGTGGGAGGAAGAAGAGAAAGGAAAGGAAGGAGGAAGGAAAGGAATGAATGTAATACAGTGATAGGTGCTATGTGGAAAAATAAAGAGCATAAGGGAACTAGATTAGTTAGTAGGAGTGCTGTAGTATAGGGATGGTCAGGGAAGGCCTGTCCTATAAGGAGACTTTTGAACAGATACTCAAAGTGATAGGCCATGTGGTAGAACATTCTAGACATAGGGAACAACATGTGCAAAGACCCTGAGGTAGGAGATTGCATGGCATTGTTTGAAACAGAGAATGCTAGGAGGTGTGAAGCTTTCTTTTAACTTTCAAGTCCTTCAATACTTCTGTGAAAAAACCTGTTTCTACTGTCATTTTTTTAAATTTCTGTGAGCTGCCTTCTCATTCTCTAAGTGTTCCTTTTTCTTCAATAGCCATATTTTTATGCATGCATTAACTTCTTGTCTGTATGAGGAATATGTAAATTATTTTTTGGTTGTTTTGGTTTTTTGGTATATATATGCAGCATTTTTTCCCTTGCTCCCTAGGTTATTTTAGTGGATTTATTTATGCCTTTTTCGTCACCCCACTGTCATTTTGGTTGGTTTTCTGGAGGTGGCAGAGGTGAACATGTATATTTTTGATATTGTGTTTTCCTCTTCCACTTCTTTACCCCTCTTCAGACTTATCCATTGGGTTGGATCCTAAAGATTCTTCACTTATTTATGAGTGCATGTCACACTGTATTTTACTTGTCACTTTGAATATCTGTCTACCCACTAGTATGTACACTTACTGAATTATCATTATTGAACATACTTTGTTTTATATCCCCCATCTACTTCATTGCCTGCCAAAGTAAGTATTTAATATATGTTTTTTGAGTGAATATATGTTTTATTGAATGACATCAAGTAGAGTTTTTAGATATCAGGTGAAAATATAGATTTGAGCATCGTAATCATATTTGTGAAATTTGTATCAATGAAGATTGGATAATTGTCAATGAGAAAGGCAAGGCAGCAAAGATGGAACCCTGAGAACAATAACACTTGGCTGGGGACCAAAGATGCTCTAGAAAAGGTGATAGAAGGAGTGGTCAGAGGAGAGGACTTGGGGGAGGGCTGGGTCAAGGGAAGAGAAAAAAGCAGAGGGAGAATAAGAAATGAAGAATGCCTATTGGACTTAGGGATAAGGGAGTGGTCTGTGACCAAGGGAAGAGGCCTTTTAGTGCTGAGGGAAATATGCTGTGGGTAGAAAAGTGAAGGAGAAGCAAACAAGTAAAGACTTTTAAGTACCAACTGTTGTTTCAACAAGGGTAGCTTTGAAGGAAAAGGAAGAAAGAACAAGGACTGAAAGAAGTCAGAGGTGGAGTGCCTCCAGTGTGTTTTTTAACAAGTGAAAGACTTGAATGTATCTACAAGAACAGAGTGGTATTCATTAGAGAAGGGACACTGAAGAGAGAGAAAAGTGGAGGAATAGAATGCAGCCCAGAGAACATGAAGGTTTGCAAACTCCAGATCTTGTTCTTTCCAGATTTTCTTGGATATTACTGCCAGATTAATCTACCATTTAGTCCTCTTATTATCCTGTCCAAACCAAGAAGAGAAAGCATCGATTGAGTCCTGTGCTCGGCTCTTCCCAGTGTCATCATCTAATGTACTCATCATAACAAACCCACAGGGTAGGTATTGTTAGCCCCTTTTACAGTGGAAGAAATGAACTCAGAGAGGTGAAATAACATGCCAGACTTTGACCACAGGTGGTTTTGTTTTCTTTTGTTTGTTTTTGTCTTTGTGTTTAATGCTAATTTAAAAAAATCATAACTTTCCTTTCCCTGCTAGTGACTTCTAATTTCCTAGTACATTTAGTAAAAGTAGAACTTCTATGTCCTGGTCCAGTTTTCTTTTTAGCATCACTGTCTTCCTTTTCTGTACTAAAATTTTTGTTTGTACAGTTGTTGAATGCTTTGTTAGATTTTGCTCCTGGTTTAGCAAAGATGAGTAGAAAATGTAAAGTCTGAAGTGCTCTTCCTGGTGCCAGTATTATTGCTAATAAACTTGTCAATTTTGAAGCAAAAATGGAAATTATTAGTAATGTGGAGAGCAGTAAATTTTTTGTCTTTACTCAGTGGTCAATAGACTTAAATCAGTTGATGATGTTCAGTTTCGAAGGAAAGAAATAAAAGGTAAGAACATGTGTAAAGTATTAGAAATCTGTTATCAAAGATTATGTCTAAAAGTAAAGTTGGGGATTCTATAACATTTTAAGCTCTCCAGGAAGCTACTCTAACTATGCTAAACATGGAAGCCTATTGTTTGTATTTTATACATGATTTTGAATCATTTTCAGTGGTATACTGGTTAACTACCTCTCTGTATGTGAGTACATAAATATATATGTATGTAATGTGTACACAAACATACACACATAAAGAGAAAAGGAGAATTTATATACTATTAGAGTTCCTGTCTACCTTCATGCTAATATGAGCCTTGCTAATGTTTAATACATACACATATCTTTGCTTAATTAGTAGGAAGATTGATCTAAAAGGCTTTAATAAATGTAGAAGTATCCAAAAAGTTTGTTTGTCCTTAAACAGGACTGGCCCACTGCTGCCTCAGGGCCTTAGCACTGGCTGCTCCCTCTGTCTGGGTGCTCTCCCTTAGATATTCCTATGATTCTCTCTCCTAGCCCCTTAAAGTTTTGGTTTAAATGTCACCTTGTCAGTGAGGCCTTTCCTGATGACCCCATTTAAAATTGCAAACTGTCTCTTTCACCCATCACCTTCCCTATTTCCATTTTATTGCTCTTATTTATTTTTCCATAAGGTGTACCATTTATTTTACTCATTTATTATGTTGATTGCCTTCTTCCTCTGACTGAAATATAAGTTTCATTAGGGCAGAAATTTACTTTGTTCATTGCTATGTCCTAAGCACCTTGAACAGTGCCTGGCTCAATAAATATTTATTGAAGGAATGATTTATCATGTTCAGAAGATCAATCTGACTGCTGTATGGAAAATACATTGTAGGGTAGCAAGAGTTTAAGTAGGAAGTCCAGTCAGGTGGATACTGAAGTGGTTCAGTTGAGTGTCAGGAGTAGCTGAACTATCACACAGGTGATGGAAGAAATAGAAAAGGAGAAAAGAAATAAATCAACTTGCCCTAGGAAGACTAGAACCTGCTGCCCAACTCCATACCCCAATACTTTGCAGCCTCTTGGCCTCCACTATGGCCTGTTCCAGCCATAAATACTGAAGGATCTGTGTTTTACCAGACACCTTGGTCCTGGAGGCTCCTGTTCATGTCCTGATAAGCATCAAATTATATAAATCCTATAAGTTAACTAGGGAAGGCTGAAAAAGCATTTTAAGATAATAAGAGAGTATAAGCTATTACTCAAAAATTCTGTTTAGGAAAAAAGGAAAGGTAGAGAGAGCTGTATATTATTTAACATAAAATAAGAATAGTGGTAATGATAACAGCTAACGATCATTGAACCCTTATTATGTGTGAAAATAATGCTATGTGCTTTATAAAGTCCTTATTTAGTAAGACAGCAAAATGTCAAGGATGTGAAACATTGTCCAGTCCTGGAAGAGCTAGTTTTTGACCCTTAATGTTCAAGTTCCAAGCCTACAATACTTTACTAATTCTGAGTAAAGCCACCCTAACAGTTTTTCATTTTCTAGGTAGACAGTCATATAATTTGGGAAAAATTAAATTTCTTCCTGTGTCAGTTGCCTAATTGTAATGGACCCACTTTTGGAATAATTAATAAATAGTAGTAATAGTAGCAATAGAAAACATCCTTTACTTGATGCTGTTATTAGAATTTTCTAGGGTTTTATTTTTATGCTTGATGTAATGCTAATACTTTTGTTTTTGAATCAGGAACCGATGTTGGATATTATCAAATACTTTTGAAGCATCTATCAGGTTGACCATATGTTCTTTCTCCTATGACCTATCAATATGATATTAATAGATTCCTCATAATGAACCATTCTTGAATCCCTGGATAAGTCCTTCTTGGTCATGGTTATACTCTTGGTATCTAAATAAAAAGCATTGTTTAAGAACATTTGGGGGCCGGCCCGGTGGCGCACTGGAGAGTGCGCCGCTTGGGAGCACAGCGGCGCTCCCACCGAGGGTTCGGATCCCATGTGGAGACCAGTTCCCGCTCACTGGCTGAGCGCGGTGCGGGCGCAACACCAAGGGTTGCGATCCCGTTGCCGGTCCCCGGTACAGGCGCGACACCGAGGGTTGCGATCCCATTACCAGTCAGTAAAAAAGACAAAAAGGAAAAAAAAAAAAGAACATTTGGTTAAGAGTTCTGGCTCTGATATTACAATGGCCTTACAGGGTAGGTCTGCTGGTGACAAATTCTGTTAGTTTTCTTTCACAGGAGAATGTGAAATATCTTTTATTCCTGAAGGATGTTTTCGCTGGTATAAAACTCTGGGTATACAGTTACTTTCTTTCAGCACTTTAAAATAATTGGTCCCTTTCCTTTTGGTATCTATGGTTGACGATGAGAAATAGAATTATTCAAATTCTTGCTCCCCACCCTCCAAGTAATGTATCATTTTTCTCTGGCTCCTTTCAAGATTTTTTTCCTTTAGTTTTCAGAATATGATTGTGATGTGTCTGGCCATGGGTTTCTTTGGGTTGATCCTGTTTGGGTTCTGCTGATCCTCCTAAACCTGCATGTTTATGTCTTTTGCCAAATATGATAAGTTTTTAGCCATTATTTCTTCAAATATGTTTTTAGCACCGAGCATTTTCTCTTTTCCTGGGAATCCGGGTAGACTAATATTAGACCTTCTGGTATTTTTTCATAGATCCCTGAGGCCCTCTTCATCTTTCTCTTTCAATCTTTTTTTTTTTTTTTGTCTTTTGTCTTTTGTCTTTTTCCGTGTCCGGCAACGGATCGCAACCCTCAGTGTTGCCCCCGCACCGGACCGGGGACCGGCAACGGGATCGCAACCCTCGGTGTTGCTCCCGCGCCTCGCTCAGCCAGTGAGCGGCCGGGCTGTATGTGGGATCCGAACCCTCGGGTGGGAGCACCGCCGCGCTTCCCAAGCGGCGCACTATCCAGTGCGCCACCAGGCCGGCCCTCTCTTTCAATCTTTTTTCTCTCTCTTGTTCAGATTGGATGATTTCTTCCTCTCTATCTTCAAGTTTTCTAATTCTGTTTCTGTTATCTCCCTTCTGCTATTGAACATATCTAGCCAGTTTTCTTATTTTGTCTATAAGTACTTGTATATAAATATAAGTATAGAATATTGTATATTTTTCAGTTATAAAATTTCCATTTTTTTATGTCTTCATTTTGTTTGCTGAGATTTTATTTCCATTTATTTCAAGTGTCTTCACCCTTGTTTGTTGGAGCAAGTAAGGTAACTTCTTTAAAGTCTTTGCCAGATAATTCCACTGTATAATCACATCTTGCTTGGCATTGGTTGGTTATCTTTTCCCATCAAAGTTGAGAATTTTCTGGTTCTTTGTATTCTCAATGATTCTGAGTGGTATTGTGGACATTTTGAATACCATATTATGAGACTCCAGTTGTTCTTTAAATCCTACAGAAAATGTTGATTTTGTTTTTTTGTTTGTTTTAGCAGGCAGTCAAACTGGTTGAATTCATACTATGAAGTCCAGCCAGCTTTCTGCAGGTTATGGTTTCAATGTCTGTGTAGTTGTCAAAGACTTTACTTTGTTACTCAAATCTTTCTCACATGTGTGTCACCCTGTGGTCAGTGTGGAATTTGGGCAGTGGTTCCTTCTGTTCTCAAAGTCTGTATATGCTGCTTAAGGTCAGATTCATGCATGCATACCTCACAAGTCAGCCCAGGAGTTCATCAACTGACCTTTCAGGGTCTCTTTCCCAAGTTCCTCCCTCTGTATCTCCTCAGTTCCTTTAGGTTCCTTGCAGCTCCCCTTTTCGGTCCTCCGGCCACATGCAGGGCTATAGGTGCCCCACTCTGCTTGACTTCCACTGACTGCCCACATCCAGAGCCAAGCAGCAGGAGGGCAAAGAAGATGGGGCTTCTCATCACCCTCTTGGGATCACAAATTCTTTGCTTGGGAGTAAAGTCCCCTCCCCTCATGGTTTTGGGTTTCTATAGCTCCCACTGCCACTGTTGTTTTAGCCACCAGATGATTGCTTTAAGTTCTGGGATGCAATAGAATGAAGAAAAGAAAAAGAAAATTGGGCAATTTCCCCCCACCCTGTCGAAGCATTAGAAATACTTTTTCAGCTCCTTGAGCCAGACCTAGAGAGCTTTTCCTGGAGAAGTTCTCTTGCTTTCTCCTGCCTGTGTGCCTATTTTCAGGTTGCTGTCTGAGTCTAGTACAGAGGATACCTGAGGAAAACAAAAAAGGTGAATTCATCACTGGTTCAGTGGTACTTTGGATTTTGGCCTTTTTTCCCAATTCATCTGCTACTGTTTACTTTTCAGAGTCCCCAAATAATGACTTCATGCTTTCTATTCAGGTTTTCAAATGGCAGAGACAGGGTGGAATGAGATTACCCCATCTTATCTGCAACATGATCCTCCACTTTGGCTTTAAGTTGATCTTCTTTGTCTAACTTATTAAGGTGGAAACTTAGGTCATAGATTATGGGCCATCCTATTTTCTGTAAAAAAGCACTTCTTTGGCTGCATCATAC